TCTATCTATCTATCTATCTATCTATCTATCTATCTATCTATCTATCTCCTTTTGGTATACAATACAGTTATTGGGCACTCTTAAATAACACTGACTATATTAATTATTATTAGCACTTTGGAGAGATCAGCAAAAACATTTGAACCTCAGAAATTCTATTAATAGTAATGTATTAATTAATAGTAATACATTTTTAAATTTTATTTTAAGAGTATATTTTAAAGTATTATATATATAAACAATATTATGTCTCGTATTTCTCTTTATATTGGATTCAAAATGATTTTTGAAATATATTTATGTAGCCATTATATATTTCACTTTTGCCTTCAAAAAGTCTTTTATATAAATTATATTACATGATGTTTGTACAGATTACATCATTCTTAACCTTTTTTAATATACTTCATAGTTTTCATTTTATTTATATATTTCTTTATTCAGCTACAGAAACTAACCAAATAATCTGGGAAGGAAATAATTTTATATCCTTAAGAGGTCCCACTTTATCACTAATCATGATATATTTGAGTGACTTTATTTACTTATTTTTTCACTAGAATAAATAAGTATTGCATTATTTTAATACAATTTAACAATATCACACCAATGTGCTCTATTTGAGCAGATGTTAAGCAGGCAGTTCCTGAATGTTAATTCTGAGAGGGTGGTATGTTTAAGCCTATCTAAAGTATGTTGCATGTGGGCTTTCCAGGCTTAGTTACAATGCTCTCTCTCTTGGGAGAATTTTAAAGCTAAACCTCTTTCTTTTTGTCACTCTATATGGACTCTCTCAAGTCAGTATAAAGCAGATCATCCCTAGGCTAAAGCTCTTCAGCTTTTGTTATTGGGCTCTGTAGGCCTGTAATTAGGCCTCCTGGTAGGCCTTGCAGCCTAGTTAATGGTCATATGGAGTTTCTGTGAGGCAGACTGGCTTTGTATAAATTCTTCGTTGGAATATGTTTATGGGTCACTTCATACCAGGACCGTGTTTTGTCCTTGTGCCCTATAGGCAGACAAGGAACTGGTTCCCTTGACCATGGACAGCTCTCTTTGCTGCTCATAGTCTACTCAACTAATCCCCAGTGTAAACAGAGGATTTAGCGTAGCTTCTGTCACTTACAGTTGCCAAACCACTTGGGTGTCTGTGATTTCTTTTCCAGCATTAATTATTGAATGATGGAGAACAGTAAAAGGTTTCATGGTTGTTTGTACATTAAATATATCCTTCTTGTCTCAAATACTGACAAGACAGTATTCACAATATTAAATACTTCATCCTAGTAGAAAATACATATACTTATATGTATTATACAAATACTTAAATACATATTTAAGTAATCCATATTTTAATTGAATTTTAAAAATGTATACTTTACAAACATATTTTATGTGAACATTTCCAAATAATTAGTTTGTGCTAATCATATAAAAATGGTGTCCAAAATTTTCTACGCTGCAAAGAGTCTTTTCAACTTATAAGAACAATTGCAGAAGTTGATTGATGTGTGCTTTCAAAGTCGCGAGTTGAAATGACTGATCTGCATGTGGAATCTGCATTTCAAACCTGTTTCTAAAAAAACATGCAAAATACTATATTTTAAAGAAAGAATTGTTGATGGCTTAAAGCAGACTTCAAAATAGAGTTGTTAATATGACGTTAGCAATATGTGATAAAAACTGATGGAAGAATTATTTATGTTTTATATATAATGAAGTTGTTTGACAGCTTATCTGAATATTTAGCTGTTTAACTCATTATGTTCTGATTATATAGCCAGTTTGTTCACTTAACTGTGCATCACAATTATTTAAAAAAATTCTCTGTAAATGAAGTGGATAGTAAAACATAAATATATTGATGTTAGATGTGGCAAATGCAGAATATTTTTCTATGATTTTCTTCAACATTTCATTAGAGTGTGATAAATCTGTATTTGCTCAGTCTTATAAGTGGTATACAGTCTGTGGGGCTAAGATGTTTCATGACAGATGTGGCTGAGGAGACCACATACATAGAATATATGATTTTAGTCTGGTGGAACTAATAGGATCATTCATTACTTTACAGATCTTTCCTTTTTTGTTTCTTTAATGAAAATTGTTTAGTTAAATAGGGGAGTCTTTTAGCTCAGTGCTTAGTAACTGTGCAAAGCCAGTTTTAAGGCCAGTTGGGAAGAAATGAAATATTACAAATGTCTATTTAAATATTATATATCAGAAATGATTAATTTAAAAAAGAATAGTATGAGATTGCTTATATTTCTACAGTATTGTTTTTAATATTAGCTCTATTTATATTCATAGGGCTACCTCTTATGTTTTCTTTGGAAGGTAAAATTACCACAAATGGATCATGTGCAATATGCTTATGCACGTCTTTCAGTAATTTACATTATGAAAATAATACAGCAATATAAAATGTATATCAATAATATTAATAATGTTCTATCAAGTCATTGGTTTGTATTTAAAAGTTTGTATATGTATTGAGATTTTAAAATCTTCCCTATAATTTCCAGTGACTATTTTTTTAGTGATACTAAAAAAATTGCTGGAACAAGAAATTGGCAATATATTTTGGATGTCTTAGAAGAGAATGTCATAGATTAGAGTTGAACTGTGACATTCTTGGTGCTCTCTGAACTTGCTTGTTTGCTTGCAGACATTTCATTATGCAACTAGGGAACAGCATTAGTGTGAGTGGAGTTTGTTGCATGTTTATATATAACTCCCCTGTTTCCCTTTTAAGATATAATGACTTCCCGAAAATAAATATTTTGCCTATTTGGGATATAGCTGTCTGGTGCAAGCAACCAGATCCACATGTTTAGAGTTCAAGCTAACTATTTTATTGTAGCAGTCCCCAACCTTTCTTGCTCTTAGGATCAACAGTGGTGGCGTGAGTGGGAGAGGGTTGAGCACTTCCACAAATGCAGCTTTGTGAGCTCACAGGCTTGCCTGCTGCTTATGTGGCCTGGTTTTCAATGGGCCACAGTCTGGCCCATTGGCTGGGGACCCCACAGGCTGGGGACCCCTACTTTATTGCATTCTGCCTGTAATACAGGAATCTCCCCAGGTTGCTTGCCTTCTCTTGGAACGAAAACAGATAAAGCCCCATAAGCTAATTCCCCGATTAATCCCTTCTCATCCAGCTGGCAATTCCCAACAGTAGCTGACTTAACAATTCCTTATTTATTAATTTTTTATTTTTATATATATTTTTTATAAATAACTCAAAGCAACAATCATATCTAATACTTTTTTCTCCTAATGTGTTTCCCTCAACAACAACCTTGTGAGGCAGGTTGGGCTGATAGACAGTGACTGGCCCAAAGTTACCCAGCCAGCTTTCATGCCTAAAGCAGGATTAGAGTTCAGAGTCTTTTGTTTTCTAACCTGGTATCTTAGCTGATGAACAGATCAAGTAATTTGTTTGCTAATGTAATTATTTCAATATTTCCTTGGTAGTTATGCCTGTAGCACACAGATTCCTTATTTTTTTCTTTCCACAAAAATAACAGGAAAAAAATCCCTCCGTTATTCAGGCAGGTAGAACTCTACATAAGGGAAGAACTCAGCTTGAAAACAAATTTATTTCCAAGATATATGAAGAGGGATGCGGAATTGAGAGAAAAGCAGTCAAAATGGTTTAATTTGAGAAGTTATTCCTTTCTACATGCTTTTGTCTTGTGCCTTGACAAATTGGCAAGAGGTTAAGGTGACACAAAGCAGCAGTAGCTTAGGCTTGTGGAATCAAGTTATAATGACCAGCCGTGATTAAAGCGATCTAAGAGTTATAAACATACTTCAACCTATGTTTTCTTTATCAAATCATAACAGCAGAGTGTAGTTGATGCTAAACAACATGGTCTATTAGAACACACTTAGAAGAGAGTGACAAATTCAGAGTTT